AAAAAAAAAAAAAAAAAAAAAAAACACACAACAACAAACGGTATAACAGTCTTAAACAATTTACTTTTTCCGGTTATTCATGTGCACATCAACTATTAGAATGTAATATCTCGGATGTTTTCTCTTCTATGAAGATTTTAACGAATCTTATTCTTCTTTCAAATTCCCTTGTCCTTCTACCTCCTGAGCTAAGCATTAAGTGCAAACCCTTATGCTAAAAAGCTCAAAATAAGGTAGTCGTGAAATACTTTTAAAGAAAAATTCTATACTTAATTGTATTCATTTTAAATCAGACATAGCTCAATACATAGCCAAACTCATCCATACTTGATAACATGCAAAACTGATATAAATAAGATAACGCATGTATGACAAAAAAACAAATACAAACATTGTTTAGATACAACAAATGACGATCCAACAGGCAACAACCAAGATTCTATTTTGCAACTTACAGCCCAGCATCCAGTTGCTGTTTAGGTATTGAACCACCAACTAGTCAGCGTACATTGCTGTACATAAACCTTGTTCTCCCTATCCATGGAGAAATCTGAAGTTTCTATATCGTTGCTTTCAAAAAGTTCCGAGTCCGTCGTATCCTAATTCCCTGCAGCCATGTGTGTATTTATGTAAGTAGGGAAATTTTTTTGGCATCAAAATTCAAACGATAATACCCATCTCTCCAACTTTGAAATGAGAATACCATCATAGAGGAAAGCATCAAGATGGAGCTACTGAAGAGGCATCAGCACAGTGCTTCTTGAAAGCCAACGACTCATCCACTAAAAATTCACTGCAAGAACAATTTACTAATAAATGCTTTAATAAACATAAACCGTGCAATATAAATGTGTGAAACTTACAATATGCGCTCAGCCATTTTTGGTACCTCCCATCTGGGACTCCATGGGTAGTCATTTATAGGAGGTGAGACTATGGCTAAACCCTGATTTGTCCAATTCTGCACAATAACAGAGAGGGGAGCGGAAAAAAAAAAACCATTAACCTAAGAAACACAAGGATGTGCCCTGCAGAGGACAAATAACGAAGACTGCATTTCTTCACCTGAAGTTATATAATTGAACAATGGACATATGAACATTAAAAAATCAAACCTGCAATCCATGCATTTCAAATCCTAAAGCTACAAGATCAGTATAGGTTCTGATAAAGAAGAATCTTAATCAGAAACCATTTACGACACACCCTCTGTACTTTTGGAATTCCAAGTTCACATGTTTGAACTTCATGCCATATTTTTGACAGACAAGAATATGTACCATGGACGGATGGACCTACAACCGGCAGCAGCATGCTCAAAACTTCATTGGTGAGATATAATAAGCCTACCGCTTGTCTTTATGATTGTTTCCACAATTAACCCAACGAGGAAGCCTCTGATTATCCAGGCTGTTTCTAGACTTCATTGCATAGATAGGACCACCTATATATGAGAAATTTGTTTAACTATTTACTAGATTTAGGTAAAGCGGCCTCTCCTAAGAATGAAAAGGGCACCTTAGCTAAATCAAAATGAAGGTTGTGGCTCTAAACTTACGCAGTTTGGTCACCAACTCTCTGATATAATGACGAAGGAGCTGGCAGATTGCTTCAGAAAGTTATTTCAACCAAAGCAGGGAACATAGAGGTTCTTCCTACAGACGTCCAATACTTGCAAGCTGCAAATAAATGTCCTCAATCTGATATCAAGGGTAAGTTCAGTTCTAAAGGGCAAACAGTCATTTCAGCACCGGAAACAATCATCTGGAAGCCCAAAACAACCCACTTGCAAAATTTAAAGTATCTTACTATTATTTTCAGGCTCAGTATTTTCTACTACTGGTAAAGTTAGGACCAGTTTTTTCATAGTTAACTTGTGTGTCCTTGCAAGCAAGTTTATTACGGCTACTACCTATCATTTATTGTGTCCTCACAATTGTATATGAACGGTTGATTGATTTGAAATAGCCTCATAGTTGATTTGTAATACTTTTCATCTCTAATCAGAATTTCTAATTTCTACCAAAATTGTGGTCGACTTTTATTTATTTATTTTACCGCTGTGTCATCTATGAATATACACTTTCTAAGGTACCTATACAATGCTACTGCCAAGTCAGCTACTGCTGAGAAACAATGTTATTGTAAGACTTCATATTTTATGCTGGGGCAACAATTCTCCTACATAATTAGCATGCCCTATTTCAGCTAAGTAAAAATTGAAGCATGACGACGGCAATGTGAACCCTTGTCATGAATGATTGATAATTCAGATATTATGTTCAACTCAAAATTACATATTAATACATTAAATCCATTCACTTGTGTCCATTCACATATTATATCCTCCACTCATCAACTAGTTGAACTCGTAAAACATGGCTCCATTTACTTGTGTCCATTCACATATTATATCCACCACTCATCAACTAGTTGAACTTGGAAAACATGGCTGTCTTCAGTTTAAGCTATTGATATTCTTAAGGAACCCTAATAACAAATAAACAGATTAGCAAAAATACTTCATAAGGTCAATGCATATTAACTGTCAATAATAGCTTTAATCTAATGTGAATTACAAGCCATGCAATGATCAAAATTTAGATCTCTTCTACTGCTTTTCATGTCTTGCTGAAATAATGACAAGTTGCCATGACTTAAAAAGCAATATTGTGCTGGTAGATGCATGTCACACACATGCACGCTGCCACCCACAAGATGCACAACACATATGTACAATCAAATGTTTCAAATAATATGTACGAAATTTATGTGTCCCATTTAAGGAATGTAGAGAACATTACCTGGCAACTTTGCAACGTCAAAGTAGGTTGCAACCTGGGGAACTGAGTAGGAATTGAAAAATGAACCTACAATGAGGATATTTGATATGTTTTCAGGTAAATATGGTTGACATGCAGAATAAATAAGAGAGTAAAACCATGAATATAGAGAAAAGTAAGGCCAACCCTTCTCATACTGATAAATTGATATTTAGATAAACATCTGGTAAAGCTTATGAGAATGGTCTGTTAATCCGCAGTAAGTCCTTTTGTGGGCCGCCTTTAGCACCACAGAGAAAGGTAAGGCCACAGAGAAAAGTAAGGACAACCAACAACCCTTCTCATGGTGATAAATTGATATTTAGACCGATATCTAGTAAAGTTTACGAGAATAATTTGTTAATCCACATAAGTATATTTCATGGACAGCCCCTAAACCAATTAACTACCCAATGATATATAAGACATAACTTGACATGTCAAAGTGCATTATATTAAAAATAGACCTTACACTGTAAGTAGGTAAACCTACAAACGGGAGAAAGAAGACAATGGGAAAAAAATTTCCATGTAGACAGGAACTCCCTGGAAGGGAAGACATTTTTCTAGTAATTCTAATTGGTCCTCTAATTTAGCATACAAATTACAGAAGGCCTCCATAGAAGTTTAGAACACCAAAATCTTTTGTCAGATCATGATTTTAAGTCGTTATGTTATAAGCCACCAGCAACAATGTGTCCCTAAACTTATAATCAAACATTCTTGGATAAGTACAGCTGTTGATAAGGTTTCATACCTCCCAATTAAGTGTTACATGAAAAACAAGGATTAATTTTGTAAATATATTAGAATGTAGGGTCACTTCAAGATGAAAAGGAATTGAAGCATTGAACAAGATTAAAGCATTGAAAAACTCCCATTCCGCAATATTTTTATTTAGGACATGATATATAGGGAAAATTCTTCTCGATACTTAGTTCTCAATCCTTTAGAGGTGCCGAGCTAGTTATGTCACGGTTGTCATTTTGTTCTCAATTAAATGGCACTTCCATATATTAGCACTGACCAAGTTCAGGCTCAAATTGTGTTCTACTGGCAGGATTAGTATAACAGACATACAATACACATATATGCATATTAATTGCAAATACATACATACACAGGAACATGTGTACTTGTACATGTCTATGTATTATACATCTATTTAATGTATACTGCACATAAACTTCCCAGAGTTTGCATTATTAAGAGTTTAGAGCGTGAATTAACTCACTCCATTGTGACCATTAAAGAATGTGACGATTTTTTCTGCTTATATGAATTTATTAACTTGAAGTAACCATTTCCACATCATCATACCAGAAATGTGAAAACTCCAGAGCTAGCAAGAACTGATGCTTTCCTGCAAAAAACCTGATGAAGGAATGAATTAGAATAAAAAATTCAAAAGCCAAGGGAACTAGAGAAGGGAGGGGAAAAGGATGGATTTCTCAAAAAGATGTACCGAATCAGCTTCTACTGGCCTTCCAAACAAAGGCAGTAAAGCCTCAATAAATCGTCTTCTTGCACCAATTGCAGCAACCGCCTCCACCACCTTTAAGAAGAGTCCCATTTAACTTTTAAATATACATGGTGTCAAGAAATACACATAAACTGACTTGTGCAATTACATAAAGCACATGAATGGAAATCTAAATACATATGAATCTAGAGAAAGACTGGAGGGAGGAAGACCATGCATATGCACTTAATCACATGCTTGCATGAAAAGCATTAGTGGTCTCCATAAACTAATTTGCATGCTTGCATGAGGGATAGAGAAGTTAGTGGTCTTCAAATGGTTCGGCAAATATGTGCAGTTATGATGGAACTGAGACATGACTGAGTAAATCCATTAGGCACATTAGAAAAGAACCAGAACCAATATGTCAGTGAAGGCATTGGGCGTGGTAGGAGACAAGGGGAGGATATGAAAGTCTACAACAAAGACATTTGATATTTCAACAAACAATGTGACTTGATGTCATATTTCTTGATGTGTGAGCAGGCCTGAAACTTAGAAAAAACGATAATATTTAAAGGATGTCCAAATCAAAACCGTAATAACCAGATAAGTAAAGTTCACGTTTGTGAGATCACCCAATTAGACAGCTACAGTCAAAATGTTTTTTCCGTCATTAAGGCAGACAACATAATCAATAATTTATCTTTCTTCATCACAAACAAATTACAGTTCACAGCCCAGCATTCTGTTTTATTTTCAATCTATTATAAAAAAAGAATTCATAATTTTAGATTTAAAAGCAGAACAAAAGATGGGGAACCTCAGTTGTCTCCCTAAATGAGATGAATCAATTTTGAAGAGTAATTAGCTAGTTCGGAGACATATCTAGCAGGGATAAAATATATGACTGGGACACCTGATATTGTTCTCAAAGTGCATCAGCAACAGGAATTTGAGAAGCTTCTATTCTGGTGGTCAATGGAACTCACAAAGATAAGCAGAAACATTGAACAAGACGACACAAAATAATAAGGGAAATCAAATGCAAAGAAAGCAGCGAAACTACTGGAAGGTCATATATCAATGATGCTATGGAGGTTGGTGGTTTAATGTGATTCTTAATACATCAATGACGAATCAACAATTCAACAAGCAATGTTTTATTCTCGATTAACTTGCATAATTGGTAATAAAGATATAATTTCTATCCAACATTAAATATGACTGACCTGCATCTTCAGGTTGTCTTCAAAAGTAGGTAAGTACTCGGCCATGCACCTTCATATACACAACACATAAACAAAGTCATAACTTACTTACGAACTGATAGCTGATAGACCAGTGCATTTGATTTAGTAATTATCTGGAAGGATATATCTGGCAACTACTTGGACTGTGAGGCAGATACAGAGAAGCAGTACAATAACATAACAGCATGACTTACATCCCAGCTACCCATGAAGGAAGCTTGATATCTTCCGTAGCCATCAGAGTTTTCAAATCTGGAGAAGAGACTAATCTTATTCGTGGAGTAGGAGCACTAGCTGAAAACCCTCGGTTAACAGGAAAGCCCACCTGTATAGTTGCAGAAGATACAAAAATAAGATAGAAAAATATGACTTTTTGCCATATAGCATCCATGAGTAAATCAGAGAATTCGGCAAGTACTATACCAGCAAAGGAACAAAAGGCATAGAACACAATGCTCAAGCACGTTTCTTAGCAAGTGAGAAGAAGAATGGCAGGTTAGGCATCATACACAACCTAGGTTCAAATTGTCAAACAAAAAAATAAAAGCCATTTTCCAAAGTAGCCAGAGCTGTCTTGTGTATCCAATAGTGAAGCAAGAAACTAGGGCCACAAACTTGGTGAATCCTTCCTAACAACTAACAAGTTTCATGCAAACTGACTAAATCTTCTCATTGTGTGTCCAGCCAATTCTGTCAAACTCCATCCTCTTGAGAGTTGCTATTGTATGCCTATAGAACCATAACCAACCACAAGTGGGCCTCGTTGGACTTAAACCTGGCTCTTTACCATTCAATTCTATGAGAAATTAATAAAACTTGTCACACCCAGCAAGCCCAGGCAGAATTAGAATACTTTACTTATTATGCCAATGGAGGTTTTAAATATCATGTATCAGAAAAAATCAGATGGCCAAAATAAATACAACATTGTGGATATTGGGATATATCGGAGATATGTAGCAAATATCAGAGTGTCATATCAGATGATGTGCATATATAATACAATATCCTAAAATACAATCTAAACATACTTAATGAAACCTAAGCATACAAAAATTTAAATAATATATGTTTAGGATTACTAACCAATTGTATATAAACTTAATAAGAGAGAAGAGCCTACTACAATTTGCTAAAAAAAAACTTTATAGTGGTGGAATTTTCGCTAAAAGACATCGAAAATTTTTGTAGAACTATATGTTTTTGTGGCAAGCCATATGAAAAGACATATCGGCCAATATATCAACTGATATATAGGCCATTTCGGGAATATATCGCCCAAAATATTGTCAAAAAACAGTAAAGGATTTCATGACCATATTGTTTTGCAGAAAGCCTGATAAATGATATATCAAATATATCAGGGATATTTAAAACAATGATGCCAACATGATAGACTTAATATTAACTTTGTCAATGATATATCAGATATATCGGGGATATTTAAAACAATGATGCAAACATGATAGACTTGATATTAACTTTGTCAACATGTCACCCTGTTATCACCATCCTGTTTTATGTATGGACATGTTATGCAGTACAATATATAAGGTGCAGAAAATCTAAAATAAAAAGTCGCTAGACACGGATATTCCATAAATGTCAATTAAATAATAGTCACATAGATAAGATAGGTTATAGATGCACAGATGCAAAATACATACAGATGTATACGCACTAGCATATTAGCATGTGCGATGCACATGAAAGAAATATGAACCGCACGTGTGCAACAGTCATGACCAAAACGGGGAAAAAGACGCAACATTTACATATTTAGTCATAAATGTTTTAAATGTAAATTTTTTTAATATAAAAAAAATTATTGGAAAAAATGATAATCACAACTAAGATGTTCTGGTTAATTTCCCTTAACTAATCAAGTTCTCCCCAGTTTGTCTGTGTGTACTTCCTTTCAAAATAGAGAGGAGAAGACGTCATATGACACTTTGAAGATCTTTATGTGATAGTTATTTATATCATCATATTCAAAATTGGTTAGGCTATGGATGATTCAATTTCTAGAAAAGAATTATAACAGGTACTTTATTTAAATGCTCATTTAAAGAATGCTTTGAAAAAATTCAATAAGATTAGTCATATTTTCATATTTTATATTCAGATTATTATAGTTTATTATTTTTAAACTAAGTTCATAGTCATATTTTGTTAGTTGATAATATTTGCAACAGATCATATTCAAATTCCAACTGTTGTTTTTCTTTTTGTATTTACATCTATATAATATTTTTTTGGAGAAGAAGCTTATCAGTTTACATCTTTGATAATGGATATATAATTACGCAAGCTCCAATCCTATGCTCATGACATGATTAAGAATATTCCAAGGAAAAAATGAAAGAAAAGAAAGGAAACACTCTTATAAAATATCAATCTTATCCTTCTAACTACAATAAGGAGGACATGTCCTCATTGCTTCAAACTTTTACTAACCCGACTATTTCCTTCATATGATAACTAGCATTATTACACTTGCAAATACATGTGCAACGTTCATTAAAACTTTATTGCTCTAATTTTTATATACAAATGATCACTTTAATACACTAAATTGTCAATGATTTTTGTACGATCTTTTTATGATATTTGTTCATTAAATATGCCATACTTTACCTTACCTTGTGCGAAATTGGTTATGAGATATATTTCAATTTGAGTGATGACGTAATTTTCCTAGATAATGTCATTAAGAAGAGTATTTTTCATATTTTACCTCCATATTATTATATTTAATTATTTGAAGCTAAGTATTTAGATATACACTTTCTACATTATTTACTTTGGAACATGTTAGAAACTCTAATTGTTGTATTTATTGCATTTATTATATTATTTTTGGCAAAAGAACATTATCATTTCATATTTATATCTCTTATAATACAGAATATAATAGATATTTAATTAGTGGGCTTTAAGATATGCTCATTTCATGTTTTAGTAAGTTCTAGAAAACAAGAAAGAGAAAAAAAAAGAAAGGAAAAAGTAATCCTACAAAATACGATTTTACCCTCACAAATACAATAGGAATGGATGGAATGTCCTCCATTTCTCTAATTTTCTTTTTTTCTTTTTTTTTCTTTTTTGGAAATACATTCCTCTAAATTTTCACTATCCCCACAATTGCCTTTATATGTTAGTCTAGATATATGTTTGTGTGTGTGTAATTATGTATATATGAAGACACTCCTAAATGTGCAATTAAATAATGTTCTAAAATGTTTCACCTCAGAGCCATATTTGAAGGACTAAAGCTTCCTTAACACCAAGATGTAGAATCCTTGAAGACATACTCAAGATGGAAGTGAAACTCTTGGCAATAATTTGTTACCTAGTACCACAAATACATTTTTTGATCCCGTCATTTCATTGTACATGTATTTCTCTTGGTTATCACCGAATTTCATAGTTTTCAATATTTAATTTTTGTGAAGTGGCATCAAATTTATTTACGCTTATCTTTGATTGATATCCAGTTATGTTGCACTAAAGACATGGGAATACTATGAATCCTTGGTGTTCCTATACCAACTAGAATCTTACATTTAATAAAGTTAAAGAAGCAAAGGACAATCTCGAGCTTGATCGTGACAAGTTGGTTTCATAGAGTTTAGAATGCCTTGCATGAAGCTGTTGTCATCAATCAGAAGGCTAGGTCACGCCATGAAGTATTTGATTAAGCATGAATAAATGTTCTAAAAGAATGCATTGGATCGGATGAACTGTTTTGTTTATCGTTTAAGAATATGGATTTGTACATATGAAATTAAATATATTAAACATGTTACAAGGACCATTTAGTTTCAAGCTATGTAAATAATATAGTTGATTATTGTGGTGTAGGAACATTGTTAGGTATGTTTATGAACTGTCATAATTAAATTGTACAAATATATAATCCTTTGAGTCCTTGACTAAGTTATATTATCACATTTGTCAAACATCGATCTTTGTAGTTGAAGTTAATTATTTGAATATAAAAAAAACTATATAACTTGGCAATTTGTATGTCTTACATAAGTTGTACTTATTTTTTGGGTCTTTGCAGACGTGGTTCATTTCCTATTCATTTTGTGGTGACATGGAAAATATATTTGGGAAAACTTGATCATCTAAAGGAACTTCTCCGGTTTGGTAGTTGTTAAATGTAACTCGCTTTTTCATACTCCTCGAAAACTTGCTTTCTAATATAATTTTTCTTCTAATTTGTCTTTAATTAAAGTAAATTCTTCTAAGCGTCGAACTTATACAGTGATATCTATTGTTTTCCTTTACTTTTCCATTATACTCATGGGGAAGTTGCTTCTTTTCTCACTATCTTTTATTTTTGGGACAGATTGCTGGATATCATTTTTATTTATTCCATTTATTATAAGTATATGCTAATTAAATATTAAACAATTAATAAAGATATTTTTTATGGAAATTAATAAAGATATTTTTTATGGTAATTAATAAAGATATTGAATATGTATATATATAATTTGTATAACCAATTGAATAATATTATGTTAATTAACATGTATGGGGAATGCTCGTGTTAATATCGTAAGCATATATCATGTTAATATTAATGATGTAGAAGGGATTTAGACAAAGAACAATACAATCTTTAATTCAGGTAACTAACATAACATAATAATACATAAGAGATTTAGATATAGAAAAAAGTGAGTGCAAACAACCCGTGTTTTGCACTGATGCAATATCTTCGCAATGATCTTAGATTCCTAAGAAATCTGTAAATATGAAGAAATTTGGGATTGAGAGATAATATCCTTTTTTGATAGCCTTTGTTGTAATATACCTTCAGGCTTAATATCTGAATTACCTTAAGTACATTTTGGCATAATATATGTAGTACTTTGGGTAATTAGTAATGATAATATTATATTGTCGTTTTAATTAAATCTTTTTTCGGTAGATTAACTAAATCTTTACCTACACTAAAGTAAACCATTAAGTATAAAATATACATGTTTATAATGAATTGTGAATGAAATTAGAAAGAGTTAAAAGTACATTAATTAATGTCTGTAAATGTATATATAACTTTACGGAGACGTGAGGTACTGCACACCGAGAATAAAAAATGACAGTGCATAGTCTAATCCTTCACATCGTTTTCTCAAATCAAGAACTTTAGAATGAAAAATATTACTACATAAAACAGAGATTTCACAGCAAATTTAAATAGAAGGTTTTCTTAAATCCCACAATAACTTATTCTTATGGGACACTGCACTCTTAGTGGAGGCCCATCATAAATCAACCAAGCCCACTCTATTATATTAAGGCCTGTAGAGTATGCACGGTGCCTAAATACTAGTTGTGTATACATGAAGACGCTCCTAAATGTGCAATTAAATAATGTTTCACATTAGGATTCAGATGATAAAACAATTGAAACCCATCATAAACCCATAAAATTTCATCGCCGATCACATACATGCCTAACAAGTAACAACTGATTATGCATCATGAGATTCATCATTCAGGGACAATCAAAAAGTACTATATATGCATATATGCATGGAACATCACCAGAAGTACTCATATGAGAAATAACTACAATCATAGAATCAAACACTACAACCTTTATAAAGAAGTAAACAAAATCTGTGCTTCTTTAGAAGATTCATTCCCTCTACCTGTAAGAAAAATTTTTGCTGACGTCTCCAAGGACTCCCAGGAACAAGTTTATTCAAGTCAATTTCATCCAGTAATGGGACAGCAAACCTAACTTCTTCTGCCTGCATTAAAATTGGAAGTAAACTGAGGGGGGAATCAAGAAAAGCTTCCTATTACAGAAAGACTTTAGATTTAAAGTTTTCACAAAATCGTCAATAACAGCAATCATAAAGGGCATACCCGGTCTGGTCCAGAGATTACACTGACTTCAATTCCCTGGTTTACAATGTAAGGTTTGCCAATTATTGTTATCCATTGACTAATAAGATTATCTACAGAAACTATGAAGATCCATAAAGTTAGCAAGAAAGCAAATTTAAAACAGAATGCAAGTAATATATTTATATTTACTTTTAATTATATCATTATTACATAAAACCAGGACTGCACAAATTTAACAGGAACTCAAGTAATTCGTAGAATCATATTATATATATGTATATGTGTGTGTGTGTGTGTTCAACTTTATATTGCAGAAACTAGTACTCCAGGGGATGCGTGCATGACATAGAAATTAGAGGGTTTTGTCCTACTAAAATTTTCATTACGCAATCTCCCCAGATAGTAAATATTACCTTGATGGTAACTAAACATTTATTAAAGAATATGACCAGGTAAAAACTGTAACGGCCAACCAGCTTACATTCATGAATAAAGTCTCTTAAGCAGTTCTAATTTCCTACAAAAAAAAAGTGTTTCTCCCCGCTAAAATTTCATTACACATTCTCCCCCATTTACAAGGAGTATAAAGATATTACCTTCCTCGATAAAATGGTATCCGTCTCAAACTTCAACCTCTCATCATCCAATTCCCCCACACGCTTCCTGTGGTACTCCAAATACAACTCTCTAACAACCCAAAGAAAACCTCAATCAGCAACAAAAAAAAACAACACAGCACAAACCAAAATCAAACCCCAAAAGACAAACGACCAACCTAATCTCAAGAAAGAGCGAAAGCAACTTCGAAGGATCTTTGCTGCTCCAACTCCTCAGACAACTTTTCCTCTCCTCCCCCTTCTCCCCACCCCCAGCAATCTCGAGAAGCGGGTTAAAACCCTCGTCTTCGGCCGAGAACACAATGTCGGGGGGCACCGAGGGATACATCTCATTATACATAAAATCCCCTTCCATTCACAAAACCTCAATCAAATCAACAACGAAACTAACAACAACGAAAAAAAATCGATTTTGATGAGGGATCGCGCGCTCACACTTGATGTAATCGAGGCAGAAGGGGATCAAGAGAGTGAATCGATCGGAGTAGCGGGAATTTCTGCAGCCTGACCAGATTTGATCGACCTGAGATGAATTTGAGAGAGAGAGTGTGTGTGTGTGTGAGGAGGATGAAGCTAGGGTTTATGGTTAGGACTAGGGTTAGGGTTTAGAGGGTTGTTACCTTGAGAGGGAGAGGAGAGTTGTTGAGGAGGTAGCTGAGCTGAGCGGCGATGGAAGGGGGCAGCGGTCTCTCCGCGGACATCGTCGTCGCGAGGGGTAGGAAATGATGGGTTTTTTTCTTCTTTTTTTTCCCAATTTGGGGTTTCAAATTTGTCTTCTGCTTTGCTTTTTCAGTCTGTTGTACAGGTGCTGAATCGGTGTGACAGCTGGATTATAGTGGGTCCAACTATTCACACTCCCAAACAGTAGCTTTGGGGGTGTGTGAGGACTAAATTGTCCTTCTCACAAACCAAACCAGGTCAAGTCCAAAAGAGCATTTTCGGCAATCCAACTCTCAAAGTTACTGTTTGGGAGTGGATATAGCAAACATGGATTATAGTGTGCACCCAAAACGGCACCTTTTTTTTTCTGCTATAAAAATTATGTTTTTTAAATGCTACTGTGTTATAGTGTAGAAATACGGTAATTCGCTATAGCACTCTATAGTATTCTGTTTTTTTTACTATGATGATAATGCTACAGTAATCCACTATAGTATTTATCATAGTATGAATAGTGAGTCTTTAGGTGATGTAGATACTAGAATAGTACCGGAGTCAAGGGGAAAGTATCATTGGGAAAGTATACATGGCGAATCTTAATTTTTGGGTCATTGAACTTTATGATTCATTCACTTATTCTTGTTCGTGAAAAAACCCTAGAATGGAGGTGAATAGGGTTAATACTAATCTTATTAGATATTGATGTCGATTAAAACTTACTAACAAATATATCCTAACAATATTGATATACAATAGATTAAGGTAAGGATATATGAATAAACAATAACTAAACAAGAGTGATAGTGCACAAAAACAATCACAAACACACGATATGTTTACGGAGTTCGGTCAACCACTTGACATACATCTTCGCTCCTCACCTCGAGGAGATTTCTACTATCACAACCGGGTTTTCTACGCTCACCCGAATAACGTTTACACCTCACAACTTGGTTTTCTAGTTCACCGGAAACTTTACAACCTCACACTTGCAATCACACTCTACACCCTCTAAGTGTTGGCCTAGCCCGTGTCACATTCCTCAAGTGTTCGGAATGACAACCTCTCGCTAGGCTTTACTACCGACCCCACTCCTATTGGAACCGACCACGTCTCTCATCACACACTCATCTCGGTGTACAAGTGTGGTACAACGTGTAGCTCACAATAAAGCTCAAATACAAGATTTTGTCCTCTACAATAAATAAGAACACAATATAAGCTCACTCTCACAATATCACAATTCCACAACCCAATATATGATGTATGAAATACTAAAAACTCAAATAGAGGTGTGTGTGATAAAATGAGTACAAATCAAATCTAACTCAAATAATGAACTATCAATGATAAGAATATGATTATCGATAATAAATTGCTATATAAAAGAGTTAGAAAAACTTCTCTATAAACACAATAAGAGGATGAAGAAGATTGATGATGAATTCCTCAATTTGACAATGCAAGCTTGCTCTTTTGTAAACCAAACACCAAACTCAAACTTGAGAAGAAACAAACTTTTAAGCTTTTAAAACTTTTGTTAAAAACCCTCTTGGATGACAAACTCAAACTTGAGAAGAAACAAACTTTTAAGCTTTTAAAACTTTTGTTAAAAACCCTCTTGGATGAGAGGATGAAGAAGATTGATGATGAATTCCTCAATTTGACAATGCAAGCTTGCTCTTTTGTAAACCAAACACCAAACTCAAACTTGAGAAGAAACAAACTTTTAAGCTTTTAAAACTTTTGTTAAAAACCCTCTTGGATGATTTCACAAGTGAAACAATAGGGGGGCATATATAGGATGAAAAACCAAAGCTCAAAACCCAAGAAAATCCAGTAAAAAGACAAACTGTAAAAGACAGGAAATATAATCGTTGGGGCTTATTGGTCGACTGACAGCTTATATCAGTCGACTGATGAGATGACCGTTATAGGGAACTAGCATCTCATCGGTTGACTGATGAGCATGGTCAGTCGACTGATGACATCATCAGTCAATTGGTCAGTCGACCAGAATTAAAACAGAGACTTTTTAAGATTGTATGACATTTCTTCAGTCGACTGATAAATGTTATCAGTCGACTGATAACAGGTTCTCAGTCTATATAGATTTTTAAAAATGAATTTTAAAGTTCTTTTAAAAATAGCAAATAAATTCAAAAAAATGTAAAACTTTGGTAAAAGTTTATAAACATGATTATGAACATGTTAGAAAAGGAATTTTTTAATTTACTCTTATCATTTGTGAAATCTAAGAAATATTCGAAAACACTGAAATACATGTGTTTATGAACATGTTGATTTTGACATTTAGCTCAAATCAAGTTTTGAAAACTTATGTAATGCTTTTACGGACTTAATAAAAGATGTTAATAATGTTTGTATAGTCCAAAGCATATTAAAATATATTCTGCATAAAAACACCTATGATTTGAAGAATTTCACAAATAAATGTGTGTGTAAATTTTGAGCTTAAATAATTAGTACACATTACATATAAACCTATATTAAGTATACCAAGAATGAATCATATGAAGCTTGAACTTGATTGGTTGACTAGATTTGCATAGGCTTCACTATCAATGTAGTTCATTTTCCTGTGTATACTAAACAACACAAAACAAAATACTAAAACCAATATTAGTCGTAAATCGTTTGTAAAATCATCATCAAAACAAGAAGGCCAACAGTTCGAGAATTGATACTCGTCATGGGCCGAGGTTTTTCCGTTTGCGTTATATATTGGGCCCATAACCCTAGTTGGGCCGGTAACTTAAACGATGAAACGAAAGACTGAAAAAAGCATTCATTTCGGAAGGTCTTCTTTAAGGGGCTGTTTGGTTGTATGTTTTTACCATGTAAAAGGATGAAAAGTGTAAAAAAGTGGGTCCCAATGTCAGCTTTCATCACTTTCAATTGTTTGTTTGTAGTTGTGAAAATAGTGTAAAGTGATTTCATATGCTGATGTGGCTTGTAAAGTGATTTCATAAAAAAAAGACATGATTTTAGGAGAAAGCTGACATTGAAGTCAGGAAAAAATAATAAAAAATAATTTCAACCAATATGATCATTTGAGTAGGGACCACTTTTTACACTTTCCAAACAAACAATTAAAATTACATTTACAAACCAAACAAGCAATTTATGATTCCAATGAAATCAAAAACAAACAAAGAAAAATATAAAAGTAAAATTGATGAGGTGGACAACAACTTTCCAAGTTGTGTCATAAATACACAACTTTACTAACAACCACCAAACAGCCCCTAAGTCACTTTGATCGCGTTGTTTTTTCATTTTGGGGTTCGGTGGCATCGTAACATGCAGACTGGCACGCTGCGTTGGAATTACTCTATAGCCCAAAGTAGCGTTCGCTTTAAGGGAGATTATATCCAGCGAGGCACAAAATATCACAAACAGAATGGTCATATTGCCCCCCAGCCAATAAATATTTGCACTAATGCATCATACATCAAGAGTTACAAAAAATTCAGATTTGCAGAAACAAAATCAAGCGCTCGAGTAAAACCCCGAATCCGAAATTGTGTGATTCTTTGCTAATAAAACCGAGCGATCGGGTGGAATCCTAATTTTGACAACTACTGTTGATTGAGAATTATCGCTTTATTAGTAAAGTTTACGCACGCGGCTGATGTTGGAGAATTCATTCCGTTGCTTTGGGATTTTTTTGACCGCGGGCGTGAACCCACCAATAATTTCCACCGCATTTATCGCTTTGGGATTTTTTGAACGCTAGGCGATCTGCCCGCAGTCGGCGATGACGACCTCCTCGCTGGTCTCCCCACTCTCGGACCCCACCTTCTCGACCTCCCTCACGACTCCATCCCCTCCACCACCTCCCCAACACCACGTGCTTCCCGTCGAGCCAGTCCGCCTCGTTCCGTGCATATGAAAACTGCACCCGTTCGTGTGGGGGCCCGCAGTTCGCCATCGACAGGACCCCCGCCCCGCGTGCCCCTCTCGAAGTTCTCATCCTCGAAGTGCTCCCCGTAGACCGACTCGAAGCCGTGCGTCGCCGCGATGAATCGCCGCCCTGGGCACATGAATCCGGGGATCACGCGGTGGAAGGCCGAGCCTTGTAGTGGAGAGGCTTGCCGGAGATGCCGAGCCTTCTCGCCCGTGCAGAGCGCGCGGAAAATTCTCGGCGTTCTCGGGGTCACGTCGGAGTAGAGCCCATCACGATTCTGCCGGCGGATCGCCGCGATCGAGATCTCGAAGAGACTCGGGCGGGTTTCCGGGCTGCCATCGGATGAATTCGGGTCCGGGTGTGATCGGATTTGGGAGCGCGGGAATATTTGTAGAGGGGGGTGGAGGGATCTGGGCCGCCGGTGGTGGACACGTGGACGGGGATGGCATGGGATAAGGGCAAGTGTGATGCTGCTGCCACTTGATGGGAATCGAGATCTTATTTGGTGGCGGAGGCCCGTGGTGGGGTCCATTTGGACGGTGATGTAAAAGATGTGCAGCGTCGAAGAGACTGACCACCAGCTACGTGCTTCGTTTATTTATTTGTGGCGTAACATCGTGTTCAGACGATTCTGATCCAATTACTGTTCGGTCCTCTACACTATTTGGCCTTTGTGGGCCCCACTGAATGTCACTCAACAGTTGCTGCATGAGCTTTACTACAGTTCCCCCACCCCTCCTCAAACCAACCCACCAAAAAAAAAAAATTTCGGTGGTAAACTGTGAATCCAAACTATACGGAGCAAACAACGTAGCAAACTTGATAAGAGCAAGTCTCTACCATTGTGGTCCCAAATCTTCAATAAGGTCATATTAGTCCCTCAAATCTTTTAAATTGCCCACGAGCCCCTCAAATCCCAAGGAGTCTTGCAATTTGGTCCCCAAATGACCAAAACAATTTATAGTCTAAATAATAACCAAAAGCATACTTAAAGCCATATAATGAGTAAACATTTGATAGTTTTATATTGTAGCAAATTAGCCTTTTAATATTGATTTTACGATTTGGAGGTAGTTTCCTCCAAATTCGATTATTATGTGGTGGTAGTTTTGTAAATAGTGAGATTTAGGGATGTTTTTGCAAATACATATGACTTGAGAGGTACCCATAAAAAACATGCTTTTAGGGTTCTACATTGGTCACTTAAATCTTTTATATTTCAAAATTAGTCCTTTAAATCATTAAAAATTCTATTTAGTCACTCGATTTTATTTGAAGAGAATAATTCGTTAAGTTTAACTATTTTTACTTTGGATTTATGTGGGGTAGAGATCCTTTACAACATTGGTTGTAGAGAAACTCTATGATTCACTAGTAATATCTCTTATTTCAGTCGAAGCCATGAATGATATTATTTGTGCAAATTATATAATCTATTTTATTGTAGAAAATCAGGGTTCTTTTGTGTTTTAATTTATATTTTTTTACCTATTCTTATCTTTCCGTAAATATTTGTTATCCTCCAAATTAGTTAAGATCCATCCAATGCAATTTCCTCCACTCTCATGAAATCAAAATATGTGAAACAAGTTCATTTTTTTCACCAATTAGAGCAGAAAAATTAATAAGAAATATATAGTAACTACATGTCTTTCTTCAAACTTCCCAAATGGCTCATCAAGGTCATAGATAATATTAGACGCAACTATGGGGGCCAACTCCACTAATACAGGAGGCAAAACTCTGGTCAAATGGGACAATGCCTGCTCCCCCAAATCTTGTGGGGGTTTGGGTATCTCGAACATTCTCCATTTTAACATTTCCCTATTGCCTAAATGCCTTTGGAAATACTTTGCCATGAATAATCATGTAGGCAAGGTTCTCCAACCCATCTACCCCTCCAACCCTCATAGCATATCACCAAGTTATCACTGCTCTAATTTTTGGAAGGACATTTATTCTTGCTACCAATCATTTACTGACATTGTCAAATGGTGACTAGGTAATGATCTTAGTATTCTCTTTTTGGAGGATAAGTGGGTAGGAAACAATTCTATGGCTAGCCTATTCCCTCTGGCCTACAACCTCGCCTTCTCTAAGCTTGTCTCCATTAAATCTCAAGGGAGATTCCTTGGAAATACCTGACACTGGAGTCCCATCATTAGGAGACCTATTTAGGAAAATGAAAGACCACAAGTTCAAGCTCTTAATCATCTGTTAACATTAAGTAATCTACATCCTTCTCACAACATTGATATGGTACACTGGCCCCTCAATAGCTCCAGGATCTTACAGTCAAATTTCTCTACTCCCTCATAACTGATGGAGGCGTTCGAAGTCCTCACTGCTCTGTTATATGGAATAACTTACTTCCTAGCAGAGTTAAGTTCTTTCTTTGGTTGCTCTCCATGGCTAAACTGAAAACCAAAGACAGGCTCCTCAACAGAGGATAGACAGATGATCCATCCTGCTCCTTTTGTAGTGACCAAGAATCACACAACCATCTCTTTCTTTCTTGCCAAATTACCAAACAAGTATGGGTATTCTTCCACCCTAGAATTGCCATTCTGGTCCTCCCTCTTCTCACCAAACATTGTTTTGATATACACTACGATAGGTCAGTTGAGACTTCTGTGCAACACCTATGGAGATTATGTTTTCCTATCATCTGTTGGGTCCTATGGAGAGCTCGCAATAACCTCTTTCACTCAGGCATAAAAACTCCACCCCTCTTCAACTGGCCTCCAAGATTACTTACTATTTGTTTTTCTGGACAGGTGCAGCAACATCCATGAAGAACCTCAAGCTAAAAACTCTCATATGGGAGAAAAGGTTTTTCTGATCTCATAACATCTAGTGAAGACATTAACGAGGACGTATGCATCCGTTAGCTAGCCTTAGGCTACAGATCTTCTCGCCGCCCTTCTATAACATCTTTTGGACAATATCTTTTGTAACTTACATACTTGTTTTTGGTTTGTTACTTTCTAATCCTTATTACTTCCTTGTATATAATCCTGGGTATCTACTAGTGATTTTCATGTGTAATCTTCTTTTTGTACAGTGACGACAAAGGTCTGCTCCTCTACAAAAGGGAATTCTGTGCAAATCACGAGTAGATAACATGCTCCATTTTTATAGAAGGGAGCTCTGTACGCATGATAGATGTTACATGCTCCATTTTTTATTAGAATAGCAAGACCCTTTTCCTGCAACTGTTCCACACTCAACAAATTGTTCCTAAGTTCAGGAACATAATACACATCGCTGTCCACGAAATGGATGCCATTGAACACCAACCTTAACATTGCCTTTGCCTGCCACTAACATCCTAGTGTTGTTGCCACATTTAACTGAGTGTTTGATGCCATCAACCAAGCTTGAGAACATACCTCTATCACCGCACATATGGTTGGAACACCCTGAGTCAAGAAACCACGCATCATTTCTATTTGCTTCATGTTCTTCTACATACGCCATCAAAAGCAATTCTTCTTCCTCATTCAGTTGTGTGTAGTTAGCTTCCTTGTTCCATTTGGGACATTCATACTGAAAATGCCCCAAATTGTGATATTTGAAACACTTTACTGTGGCTCTGTTGAAAGTTTGACGTCCTCTGCCATGCCCTCTGCCTCTAATCAGTCCTCTTCCTCTGCCTCTGCTGCTGCTTTCAACACTTGATCAACCTTGCTCCTGGTTCTTTTAAACTTTTGCTCATGAACAACTAAAGAACTTTGAAGTTCATCAATGGACATCGAACCTGTGTCTTTTGATTCTTCAATGGACACTACCACATAGGTAAACCTCTACGTCAAGGTTCAAAGGACTTTCTCCATCACTTTTGAGTCTGACATCTCCTCTCCATTGCTCCTCATTTTGTTTGCAACAACCATTACTTTAGCAAAGTACTCTGTAATGGTCTCAGTTTCTTTGATCACAAGGACCTCGAAGTCTCTTCTTAATGAATTCAGAAGTGACTTCTTAACACGATCATTCCCTCCAAACTTTCTCTCCAGTGAGTCCCAAACAATTTTAGACGTGCGTCTGTCCAAAACTTGCTAAAAAATGGCTCTATCAATAGCTCTGAAGAGATAGTGTTTCACCTTATGATCCTTTGTTCTGGTATTCCCCAGCTGCTCTTGCTCTGTGTCTGTAAGTATTGTCCCTGTGCGTGGTTCCTTGAAACCATTCTCAACGAGACTCCACAGGCCTTTGGCACGAAGAAGGTTCTCCATTAATTCACTCCAATGATCATAATGAAGACCATCGAATTGAGGGATCTTTGCAGAAACCTTTTCGTCACTCATCTCTGTGTTTCACTCTTTTTTTTTCTCTCTAAGCTGCAACTTACTTTAAATAATCAGGCCCAGTGGTGGCTCTGATACCAGTTTGTAAAGTTAAAGGTTTGTGTAAACATTAAACTGGATGCAAAATGCTTGGTTTTTATTGAGTACAAGTAAATAGCTCACTGATCTAGATTCATAACTGTTAGCAACTACTTGTAACAAACAACCAAAACAACTGATTCCTATAGACTAGGACTTATTCAAACCAAACTGAGCTAGACTCCTAATTTCTAGCAACTACTTGTAACAAACAAAGACCTCCTGAAATATTTAGTTGAACTTTTATAGAACAAACCACAAAGTTGACGATTCAGATAAACAGGGGAAAAACAGATAAAAATGCAAGAATCCATCAATTGTATAATAGAGAAAAATGATAGAAAGGAATCATATGCCACTTATTAAGGAAAATAAATCATAAGAAATTGTTATAATGTACATATACTTCACGAAATATGAATAAACTTTGTACACTACGTCAAAATCAATTCTACAAGCGTATGGATGGTTCATCTAATAAATCTACACTACATCACAAGAGAGATGGTACGTACGCCCTCCTCCCTAGTAATGAAAGACGAATTGACATCCACCAAGTTAGTGGGCCGCATTTTGAATAAGAGCCTACAAATTGCAAATTCTTGTAGAATAATGATCCTAGTAATGAAAAACAAATTGACATCCACCAACTCAATGAATTCATGTCCATTTTCTTTAACGCTTTCATCAAATATAAGGAAATATATAGATGAAGATAGGATTAAAGTTAACAATATAGACCAACATATGCACACTTCTAAGACCATCTCTAACCCATTGCACCAAAATAGTGTAAATTTTGCACCAAAATGGTATAAAAATCATATCAAACAGTAATACATCTCCAACCCATTGCACTATTTTTTGCAAAAAAAAGAATATTCTCAGTATATTCCATTCTATTTATTTTTATATTAAGTAAAAAGAAAAAAATAAATATTTAAAAAATTAAAAATAATAAACAGTAATAACACGGATAAACAGTGCGACACCATATTTTCCGTCGCACTGTTCATATGCTCCAAAATGCCGTAAAGAATGCAGCACGGTTGGAGGGGAAACAGTTCAACGCAGCGGCAAAATCCCGCTGCGTTGGAGATGCCCTAAAGCTTTCTAAAGTACAGGTGCACATGTTCCGCCTAGAAAATGTTTATTAATTTAACAACGTTTTGACTTCAGCTTAGGTCTACTTGACGAACTTAATCTCAAAAATCCAATCTATAATTTTCAATCCACGTCCAACCTAAGTCCAGCTTACACATCGCACATTTACACGCCGGCTCATAAATATCAAGACAGACGAATTTGTTCGGGTTTGCACTCAATAGTTTTTTTTTTTTTCCCGATCTCGCTTTCTCATTTATTATAGGCCCACGTACGGGAGCAAATTCAACGTCTAGACAAAAAGTACAAAAAATAAAGCCCCCCAGCTCAGCATCAAGAACGAGATCGTCAAAGACGCTCATCAATACAAAAGCTCATACGTCCCGTTCACCTCAACGTCCCGGGCCCCACCTGCCCCCCTACAGTTTCCGATCGAGTCCCTCACGCAGATCAACAGTTCACGTCCTTCCCATTACCCCGCCTTGGGAATCGCCTCAATGCTAGTGGACGGTCCTGAGCTTTCCAGTGTGAGGTGAAATGCCACTTCTGCCCCCGTTTTATTCATGGGTAGGTTAGAATCGTATGCTCGCATGTAGGCGCTTCTAAGAAGAAATGGACTAGTGGCAATGGGTGTAGATGGATCAGATATGATACTTAGGGCCCGTTTGGTAGCCCGTTTTTGAGGGGTAAAATGGCTGAAAGCTAACACAGATGGGACATCTGTAGCAGGTTTCCCCTTCAAAATAAACCAACGAAACGAGCCCTTATTTGCTTACTGACAGTAAATACGAAATGCATCATTAAGAAAGAGTCACATCTGTGTGTATCGGAATCAAATGCGAACATGTGCTACACAAGATAAAATATATGGATACACGAGACGAGAAAGCAGATAAAATTAAAAAAATAAATGAGTTATGCCATATATATGGGATGTTTAAAGGCTAGCTAACTACCAGATAACCCCGCTTAACTTTGGATGATTATCGGAAAACCCCCCTTTCAAAACATCGGAAAAAACCCTCCTCAAGTATCGGGATTATCACAAAAAACCCAATTTAACCTTCCGATTTTATCAGAAAGATCCTTTTAACTTTGAGATCTTGTCAGATAACTTAGAGGGTTTTCTGATAAAATATCAAAGTTAAGAAGAATTTTCTGATAATCATCCAAAGTTGAAAGGGGTTTTATGATATTTAGCCGATGTTTAAAATATTATAAAATTTTGAAGCGAGGCTTTGTTAGCATGTTCAACGTATCTCATAAAAACTGTAAGTCATCAAAATTGACATTAAATCTCCCTCAAATCTATTAATCTAACGGTCAAAACAAAGGCAACATTTGTATTCACAAATCCTACTCAAATCTTGACGTACAAATATATCCAAGGATTTACGTATAAATCCCGTTTCATCCCCAACGCGGATTCCAAGATCGATGGGGGCGCTCTTGTCCTTTCTCCATGTTACTATTAAGTACGTCCCGTGTATCTCACGCGGTGGCAGCACCGTAAATTCCTCCAACTCCCCCGCCAAATCTAACGAGCTTAATTGGGCTCATACGTTCAAAGTTCAATCTTAAAACCAAGTCAATCAAAGCTGCAGGCACTTACGCGCATTGACGGCGATGAGTATGAATAAAGGGCGAAGGGGTTTATTATTCAAGTCATTGTTCCAACGACCGAGAAAAAAAGAAGATAGCGTTATCTGAGGACTCCTGACAAAAATTAGGGTTTTGAAATTGGGGGAAATTGAAGGAAGGAGATAGGAGATGGGGTGCGTTTGCTCGAGGGGGGAGGAGGAGGAGAAGAGCGATTTCCGGTCGTTTCCGGATGAGTTTAGTGGGATTTATGGGTGTGGGATCCAGAATTTTGATTCCGGCGAGCTCCGGATGACGCCGGCGAGAGCTGGGACTGGAAAGGTCTGTTTTTTAACCTATATAGTTTCTGTGAATTTTATTGGTTGTTTGTTGTTTTGGAGAATTTTACTATTTTTGATAGTTTGATTGTTGTTTCAATTATTTTGGAGTTGGATTGAGGAAAAAGTAGATAAAGATAGTTTTTTTTACGAGAATTTAGCTGGTGGCATCCTTACTCTTTATTTTTTGAGGGATAGTTGAAAATTAAACAACAGGGGAGGGGGCTTATTTAAAGTATTCGTTTTTTGTTAGTACGAAGAATTTGATTTTCTTTTGAGAGAAAGAATGGGGGACCAAATTTGAAATCCCCAGGAAAAAAGCTCACAGAGGATAACAGGTAGTAGAATCAGCACCTAAAAAGAAAAAAAAAAGAAAAGAAAAGAAAAATCTACGCATGCAATCTCTCGTCTAACAAGACCGAATGACCTCACTAGAAAAACACATAGGTAACAGCACCATGCATAATATCTAAGACATTACGAAAGACAATTCAATGAGAAAATCCATCATCGATCGTAAATAATTTAATAATGTTAACTACAGGATGCTATCGTAAAGATCTACTGATGAGATAATAATGAAGAAGAAGAAACTCATATGTAGTCTGACATTCCGATTACCCATTGACACTTGGAATATGTGATGTTAGCGTTGAGTTGTAATTATGACAGGCAATCAGGATTCTTCTTAATTTCCTACATTTGCATAATCTCCAAAAGGATGAGAAATCGAGAAGTTTGAGTTTATTTTGCAGGCTTCTGGTATGCTATCAGGCTAACTGTTCATTGAAATAAAAGCATCTGTAGTTGTCCACTTCACACTGACCATTCTTCGAATAGGGGTTTTACAAGATCTGGCAATGTATTTGATATCGAAATGAACTCTAAACGTTTTTAGGCTATGCATCTTAGTATATATTTCAAAGTGAAATTATTTTATATCCAAGATCATGTCCAGTCATGAAATTATCATTTAGAATTTATGCCCATTTCAAGTCCGCATTGATGCAGCATTTTGTTGTTCTTCTAATGCTAGCAGCACATTGTCCAAATCTGTAGAGACATTTAGGCTCAGAAACACAACTTAACCTTATCCTTTCGACTTCAACCTCTTGAGAAAAAGAAGAAGAAGAAGAAGAACCTGACCCAATAGCTGATACATTGTTTTTTCCCAGACCCTAAATTGGTGGAGTGATGACACCTAATTCAGAATGAAACTGTGAAATCATGATGGTTTTCATTATAGTTGGGAATGTTTGTATGGAATTTATTATGGAAAATTAGGGTTTCTTGTGATTTGCATATGATGGCAGCACTAAGTTACTAATATTTATTTTAATGTTCCTTAGGTTTCAGAAATGAGTTCAATTATTGGAAGGGCTGGCATTGCTAGCTTAGAGAGGGCTGTAGAGGTCTTAGATACACTTGGAAGTAGCATGTCGAATTTGAAATCTAATAGCGGATTTATCTCTGGTGTTACAACTCGAGGCAACAAAATATCAATACTGGCGTTTGAAGTTGCTAATACAATTGCTAAGGGTGCTACCTTGCTTGCGTCTGTTTCAGAAGAAAACATCGAATTCTTGAAAAAGGATGTTTTAAAGTCAGACGGCATACGACGAATTACTTCAGCGGGCAACAGAGAGCTGATGATAATTGCAGCTGCTGATAAGAGGTGCAGTAACTAGAAACCTAACATACAAAATTACTGCATTTAGTGTTTTTTTTACTTTTTAATCTTTGTGTATTATCTTGTTAATGATTTTGTTGTACTTATTTTCTCCCACAGACATGAGCTTGATGTGTTCGCTGCAGAAGTTATAAGATTTGGAAACCTATGTAAAGACCCTGTTTGGCATAATTTGGACCGTTACTTTCAGAAGTAAGCTTACCACTGGCTGCAAAATAATACCACTCTTTTATAGTTATCAAGCAAGTTAATTTAAGTTTTTTTTGGGTTATGTTAAAGGTTGGGTTCGGAATGTATTCCTCAGGAGCAACTTAGTGAAGAGGTAGAAACATCGATGCAGCAGTTGATAAATTTGGTTCAAGATACTTCTGTAAGTATATTTTAGTTGAGGCCTTTTCCCGCCATAATCCGTGGTTAATATCAGGCCTTAGCAGTTAGCACCTAGCAGCATATAATTCAAATTCTTATCTTCTGGAGACTATACTAGCCCCTTTCTTTATTGTACATAGTGTATAGGTCCTAGCCTCCTTATTTTATAAGTGAAAAAAAATTCCTCAAAAGTTATTACATCCAAACATGTTAGCGGCTTGCCATGAACCTAAGCGCCCTTCCCTCAGTAACAAACTCTCTATGACGCTCAAAAGCACTCTCTTGAGGTTTTACTTATTGTTTATTGGTCATATTCTGATAACAAGGTCCCATCGGTCCGGTTGATTGATCGCAATGAAAGTAGCTATTATATGTAATGTGCTTCAAACTTTAGTTTTTGCATACAGCTTTTGTTTTTTAATGGCAGAAATTATAATTTTCAGGAGCAAATGACAGAACAGAACCCATAATTCATTAGAATTATGGATTTTTAAATTTTCATATATGGCACTGGTTGCTATTTATAGACCTTGTAAGTCCAGCCAATCTCATGTAATCTAGGAAAGTGCAATAATTTTGTTTAGGGAGCTCAAGAATGAGGTTGCAGTATCAATGTCCAAGAGTGCCCTTCAATAAGAACCGTGAGGAGAATTTTATACATTAATGGGGGTTGCAGAATTGGTGGAAAGTATAATATTGCTCTCAAGGAACTTGTTGCACACGTAGGCGGTAGAGTTAACAAACAGTGAGAAAATGGCACGTAATAAGTGCAAGATATGCTACCTCCATTCCCCTACATGCCAAAAGGTTGAGGTTGAGAGGATGGTCCAAACAAAAAAGATGTGTAGTTGCAAAGTCATTTGAAGTTGATTTCTCTAGTTTGATATCACCTCCCATATAAAACAAAGTAAACCTGATCTCCTGGAGGAGATTTTTAAACATTGCAAATTCATGTGGTAGAACTGTTCATAGATGGACACAAGATTCATACTAAAGTGGCTAGATCTTTTGCCCTTATACTCACAATTATCATTAAGCATGTTTATGTTTAGTTTGAGCAGCATGCCATACTTTACGAATTGAATTTTATTTTACTTTATAATAATAGTTGGATTATATATTAAAACTTTTAACGCATGGGCTACTGTTATATTTACTTATTATTTACGTTGGCTATACTTTGATATGCTCCACAGTCTACTGAGCGCGATCAACTGTAAATGCATTATTTATATCTGAAAATGGATCTCTTTATTTGTGCTTTTCTATTTATTTTCTTTTTCTGCAATTCTTTCATGTATTAAGTCATTTTGTACTTGTTAATAAGATAACTTGCATAATAATTGATTTTCTCCAAAAAAAAATGAAATAAAACTTGCATAATAATTGCTGTCCTAAAATTTTCATCCTAAGACTTCAACTAGCACTATTTTTCAATCACAATAATATTTAGCAATTTATTATTTGCAGATAGTGAACTCATCTCTTCTAAATGTTTAGGAGCTCTATCATGAGTCACATGCGTTGGACAGATTTGAACAGGATTATCAGCGGAAGCTGCGGGAGGAAGAGGCAGTACCTGCAACTAGTCGGGGTAAAGGCATATCTTTTCCTGTTTAACTTTCCTATCTAGTTCAGTACAAATTTAGAATGATAGGCATGACAAGTTTAACCTGAAATATTCAATTGCAATTACTTTTTGACAAAAGGATCCTATGTACATAGTTGTTCTTGAGTAACATAAGGGTTAAAATCGGTTTTTGAGGGATATGGCCATCACTGGATTTGTTAACAGGAATCTTATACAATGTTACTATTCAGGGACATAGGCATTAATGTGGTAATGCACTTTCAAGATGTAAAATATTTCTTGAAGCCTGGTAGCCCATAGGCCACCTATTTTGATCAAAAAAGGCTTGAATGATGATGATGCTAATGTACTCCATAAATGTTCTTGAATATTTTCGGACTTAGCTTACTGAATTTTCCCCCCTCTTCATATCCTTTTTTTATGTACAACCCCCATTTGAATTTTCCCCCCTTCTAACCCCAATCCCTTGTTCTTAGCAGAGAGCCTTATGATTTTACACACTGAACTTAAGCGGCAAAGGAAGTTAGTCAAGAGTTTAAAGAAAAAATCTCTTTGGTCCAGAAATTTGGAAGAGGTAGCAACATGTAACTTTTAACATACTTCGGTTGTGCATCTGAAATTCGAATTTAACTGCAATTTTTTTTTACAGTTGAATTCTTGTTTGTAGGTTGTGGAGTGCCTTGTAGATGTTGTTGTCTATCTACATAAAGTGATTTTGGATGCATTTGGTGTTACTGGTAGGTGTTGATGCACTTCTGCGATACTGGCACCCTTGTTTAGTTGTGGCACTTAACTCGTTTTACTGAGCTTTTGTACTCATCTTTTATTGGAAATATCTGATATTTTCATAGTGAAGTTACTTTAATAGTCTAGTTTGCAAAAATTAAATATCTAGCGTGAAACTTTTCTGACTACCCAACAAAAGATTGTTAACCTTTCTTGTGCACAGATAGTGCATTCATGCATGGTGCAGCTATTGGTTTAGTGACTTTGAAAAACCACCTTGCAGATTGTGTTTACCTCCCAATATAGTAGTCCATTCTTGTTGCATTGAACAATAACCTTAAAAACACCGATTGACCTGCCATCCTATTACTGAATGTTCATTCTATAAAGCGCGTTTAATAGCTACTGTAGTCAAAGAGGATCAGAAATCCATACATGCATGTCTCTCTTGTCATGATATTTGATAGTATTATGCGGACTTTGCACATTTTTAATCTAAGAGATTTTAGGGCATAACCTACTGAGAGAAATATCAAAAGGAAAACAAGAAATGGAGCCATGGATGGTTATTGCATTTTTTTTAATAGGGACTGCACGGGACGTAGTTATTGAATTGTTGGTCGTCTGGTATTTTTGATTTGGTATATGTCTTAATATCTTATGTATAAAGAGAAGAAAACCATAATTCTTACAGATCATGTATAATTTGCACGCATTAATTGGCTTTGCAGTATACATACTAGTAGTAATATCTAAAGGAAATATTTAAATGGAGGCTTGACGTTTGCTGGGTTTTCAAACACGGAGTCTGTAGGGTTTGCCTTGGCAATTTTGTGGGGGTATATGTGCTGGTGTCTTGAGTAGAACTAGGGAAAGTAAAGAGATAAAATGAATTACGTATTGAAAAAGGTAATCTTTTTTCTTCAGCTGTACCTTGCTATTGTTCATTGTTTTTGTACTTTATTTTAATTTATGCTGCACATATCTGCACAAACCCGTACAAATCCCTGAACCGCAACCACTACATACAGCAACCACCAACCTGATCAATACCCAGCCACATCTTTCTGTATATAGAATATGCTGTGAAAAAAGAAAAAAAGATTTTTGGACGTGGATACAAGCTGAGGTGTAAAGAGCTAACTTCTACATAGTCCAATGATGCACCCCTTTCTCTGGGATCATTCTAATGCCCTTGTCAATTTGATAGTGCATTTACCAATAGAACATGATTGATGAACTATTTCTCAGTGCAAACGCCTTCTTTGCAATCAATCACTAGATTGTCTTATGATATATTTGGTATATAGATTAACCCAATTTTAGAGTATGGGCCAAATTTAAAAGATTGAATCAGCCAACAAAAATGTACATAGTATGGCATCATTTATTGTTCACATATTCTATGCTCATGCAACCAGTTTTAAATTACCTGTGGCCAGAAGAGAGTTTAGATGTAGGTGGAAAAAGACAATAGTTTGCTAAAGAAGAACTGTATCATCTTCAACTCGCAATGTAAATTAAAACTCTTTTCTTCCTAGCTTTCTAAAGCATGTAGCATGGTAAATCTGCTACTTTTGATGTATTTGACTCAAAGCTGGTCATAGCTATTTAGGGCAGCTAAGGCTCACATTAAGACTGGTGATTAGAGGGATCAATTATTTTACCCTTTTGTCTAGCATATCAGCGTGCCTTGCCTTTTCCCTGTTATCATTGTCTGACCATGATATTCTGCACAACAGAAGCTAGCATTAAACACCTGATCATTCATTACTTTCCACATAATACCAGATTTGATCTCTCTTTCTGTGCTTATAATTATAGCTCTTAGATCAACTACGTCGACCTAGAGATATAGCAGGTTGCATTTCGTAGATTCTTTCTTTAGTTTCCAGATGCTGTTTGCAGCAGAACTTGCCATCTCCTCATTTGTTTACCCTTTTCTTAATCTAGAAGACTTTTGGTAGTTTCTCCAGGGTTGCTTGATCATAAATATGTGAACTGTACAAAAATTTTGATCAATAAATGCCATAATGTTGAATGATTTTCATCTCTGTCTATGGACATAAAGGTAAATTTCAGAAGCCTACTTCTGAACGTTCATACTCCAAACGACAAAGATGTTTCTTGCAATGTGAACTTAAAATAAATTTTATGTAACATCCTATAGTGTAGGATCTTATAGCAGTTCACACTTGAATTATCGCGTTAGTATAATAAAATGATCTTGCATTACATACTTGCCTGCAGTGTGCTACACGTCAAACATTGTGTGGATGCATCTCTAGACCATTGTTAGTGAAATTTGTTTGCATTTCCATGACAATGTCTTTATACTCTTATTTTGAACATCTTGCATAAATTTAATGCTTATTTAGTTCAGTATGGCATTTTTGGTCAACTTTGTATAATAATGTCAAACCAATTAATCCCTGCAGATGCCAATATGGGTGAACATGGGCCGGTTCATAATCAATGTTTAGGTGTTTCTGGTCTCGCGTTGCACTATGCTAATGTTATTGCTCAAATTGATAACATCGTAAGTACATGCTTTCTCCATCCTTAAATTATTTCCATGGTGGCTAATACATACACATTCTATCTCTGTATATACAAAAGATGACATAAGATACTAGAAAGGTCTGCTTTAGGATCCACTGGAGCGTTAAGAATACTACGAAGGATTTTTTATTGAGATCTTAAATTTTTATGCTTAGGTGTCTCGGCCACTTGCACTTCCTGCAAATACAAGAGACTCATTGTATCAAGGATTGCCACCAGGCGTCAAGGCTGCTTTACGTTCTAAGTTACAATCATTTGATGCGAAGGAAGAGGTATAGTTATTTCTTTATTTGCATGCATACCTTCTGCCAGTTTGACGATTTTCAAGTTTATTGATCTTTAATCTGAATGATTCATAGACAACTCATATTTCCTGATAGAGATAGTTTTAGCTTTTAACTTCTACCTCAATTCATTCAGTTGGCAATTCCTTATATTCTTTAGTAAAATTTGGGGGTTAGGCTGAGTGCATGTAAAGAATTTACCTGACGTCTGGACTGAAATATTGCAATGCTGCTGAACTATTAAATGCTTTTGGTCTAAGAAAAACTTAAAATACTTGAAAACTTGGGAACAAGTATGAAAATATAAAAAACTAATTACTGGCAAACGTCAAGTGTTTTGCTTTTTTTGGCCCCCTCCTTTTTTGGTACATATTTTGCTTTCTTTACAGCTGGGAGATTACAACAATTCGTAGATACCTCGAGGGCTTCTTAAGTTGAATGTTAGTTACCAGTACATTTGCATGCTTTTGATTAAGATAATTAAGAAATCATGCATAGGGGGTCTTCAGTCTTCGCGAAGAAAGTACCCAGAACTTGCATTGTTTCCTTTATAGGCTTAATAGTAGCATCACATGCTAAATTACGTTTATCTACACTGCTCCCATATTAAAAATGTGGATAAATGCTCGTTTAGTTGTAATTAACAAGTTTCTTGTCTACTTGCTTCATTATGGCACATCCCTGTGCTGTAGCTAAACCTCAACACCTGTAACTCATAATTTCTTGCTGACTTGTTGATTCATGTTTTATACTGTCAAATCTTGATTTTTTCCCTTTTTTTTTTGGCAGTATACTGCTGCTCAAATCAAAGCTGAAATGCAGAAAACTCTCAGATGGTTAGTTCCTTTGGCTGAAAATACAATAAGGTAAATATTAGAAACGCCTCTTAATTTCTGTTGCTTCTACACCACAGTTTCTCCCCTTGTTTTTTAGTTCAATCTCTATTGCATCTGCTCGATACTTCCAGTTTTGCGGCAAAGTACTTAAGAGTGTCTCACTTCTGTTCTTGAAATTCATCCAGGGCACATCAAGGTTTTGGATGGGTTGGAGAATGGGCTAACATTTGGTTAGTTTGGTTTCTCTCTTTACCTTTCAAATTTATGTTTTCATCACTACATTCTTCTAGAGTTCTAGTTCACATATTGTTACAATCAGCCACTAGTGAATAACCTCAGAAAATTGGGTTTTTGTCATGTTAGACCTCCAAATCTTTGTTAATTCTATATACCTCAAATCTTAAAATTCCTATATTAGACCCCTACATCTTTCTATTTGTTCAAATGTGGGTCTTATTTAAAAGACATCTTAATAGATTTAGGGCTCCTTTTTATAATAACTTAAATAGTTTTGGGGGTCTTATTTAATACAACTCAATAGATTTTGTGATCTAATTTAGAAATATGAAGATTGAGGAGTCTAACGTAGAACTGACAAAGATTTGCGGGTGTCAAATGACGAAAACGCCAGAAAGAATTCCAATGCAGATGGATTACTTCTAGGAGAAAAATTCTGAAATCCATCATTATTTCTGAAGTATCTTCAACTTTTGATGCAGGATCCAGTCCACACCCATGTTACATCATACTGATATTTCACAACCTTATTTAAGCAGTATCATGTAAATAAGCTTCAATTTAGATTCTAACAGCAAGCTGTTTTTGCAGTACTGAGACAAACAAAAATCCTTCGCCTCAACATAGCATTACTCGCATTCAAACACTATATCACGCAGACAAGGAGAAGACCGAAGAATGCATACTAGAACTAGCAGTTTGGCTTCACCATCTTGTACTCCAGGTGAGGAACAAAGGTTACAAGTCCATGAAACCAGCTCGCAATTTAAAGAAAACAGAAAAAGATATATCCCTCATGAGCAATGGCAAGCCTGCGATCGTCTTTGAACTCTCAGAAGAGGATAGAGAGATGCTAGGCCGTGTAGATTCAAAGAAAACAGTGTTAGTGAGAAGCAAAAGCCAGGAGCTTGCAATTGACAAAGATAAGAGGAAACAAGCTGGCAGAGGTTTGAGCAGGAGTTTTGGTAATTCTCCTTCCAGGGAGTTCAATATGGCCTTAGAATCTCACTTAGAAAGGACCAAGGTTCTTGATATATTAGACGGATTGCATACAGCTGAGACATTTTCCCGCTAATTGTACATTTTTCTCTTGAGCAAGTTTGATTCTTTCTCTTGTACGTATACGAGTTGATGGGTGACACAGACACAATCTCTCTGTATATACATATATCCACAAATTGGGTTCTGGGAGTACAAAGAAAAGTTTGCATGGTATAAAAATTCTCATGACGTATTGTCCATTACTTGAATATGAGCAGCAGCGTTAGATGTTGAGAGAAGTGCCATCATTCAGCATTTTTTTGAATGGTGATAGAAGACATCAGACTCTTACCTTAAGTCTCCTCTTCTTGTGATTGTGCAAAGATTATGAGAACTTTCCTCCTCCTGAAGGCTCCTTTAAAAATAATAATAATAATAATAATAAATAACCAATCACTAAATTTTGACTAGTTTATTATAGATCTATGCTCAACAACTGGATGGAGGAATGGAGCAGGTCCTGATGGATTTGTTAAGACCTGAAATAGCTGCTCCCTTTTCACTTTGTATCATCAAAACCTCCCTACTCCATTTCAAACCAAAAATACCAAACTCGATCCGAACATGGCATTCTTCATCCTCTTCATCTGCATCTCCTCCCTCCTCTTCTCCTCACCTTCAGCACTCCCCACATTGCCAGAAACCTCCGATCCTTCCATCGAATCGCCACCATCGCCATTTCCAGTACCCGAACAAAATTCCGGGCTTTCGGGTTCTCCGGAACCCGCTCCGCCCGTTCCGCCAGTCACCGCTCCGAATCAGCCAATTGGGCAACAGCCAGCTGCAGGGGATTTGCAGCAGGATCAACAGCAGCAGTTAGATGCTACTGTAAATGGAGTCAGCAATCAAGAACAAGATCAGGGGCAGCTGCAGCCTAGTGCTGGAAATGTGCAGCCCGGCGCTGGAGCCTTGCAGCCTAAAGCTGGCGGGTTGCAGTGGCAGGGGCAGCAGGCACTGGGATTTGGGGCGCAGCCTTTGATTGACAATACTCCTTTTGATAGTGGGAGCTCAGGGATGAGGCGGGTTGTTTGGTTTATGCATGTGCTCTCGCTTTGGTTTTGTTTGTGGTCTAAAAGATTAACATGGTGTTCTTGTGTGATGTTTTAATTCTTAGGAACAAAAAAAAAAAGTGATGATTATGCTGTGATTTCCTAAAGTATAAGAGAAAAATATTGTGTTATCATGTTACGAACTCGGTGCGGTGTGGCTTGTGAAAGAGTCCGAACATTTCATAATGTTGCTGATTGATGTTTATATATACCCCCTGTAGTATCACAGCCTTCGAGCGTGACCTCGAGTTTCACTACCGCAACCGCTCCCTCTGGCTGGCCTGCACCAACCTTGAGATGAAGAACAAATTCATCAACCATGCAAGAAACATGCATATTCGACCGTGCAGCTAAGTCTACTATCGAGAATCGATCAGTCGCGGTACAGATACCTTCATAATGAGGAACTGCTTGGTAATTTAGGCGTCACGAGGCATGCAGTTGTTAGAACGCTGGATGGATTGCGAGGGCGAGAGCGGTTTATGAACGGGCGGTCGATCCGTCGACGGATGTTGAGGAGGCCGAGGTGCTGCTTGTTGCGTCTGCGTAGTTAGAAGAGAGCAATAATGAGACGGAGAGGGCGAAGTGAATTTATAACTAACGTGATGGATCGTAGATGTAAAGAGTTGATGATTTTAGTGATGAGAATGGAATGGAATGGCATTCTTACTATTAATTTCCTTGAATTTCCCCCCCCCCCCCCCCAAAAAAAAAAAACCATCCTTTAGATCATCCAGTTTATGTGAACTAACTCTTTTAATGAGTATTGTGGATTTGAATTCTTCTTAATATTTGTTGGAAATAAGACTATACGCATGCCATACACGAGGTTTGATACTCGTGGTCTGAAGGATCATGAGATAGTTCACTCATCAAACTAAATAATAATAATAATTGTTCAGACATCTTCTCATCGTGATTCTTGAATATTTAAGCATCTAACAAGCTTGCGAGCAATGGAAGTGTAAACAAACAAAATTATGATTTTTCTGGTAATATTTTTAAAATTTTTACAAATTATTAAGGGTCTGTTCCGGTTGGGGGTCTTTTGGGTGGTATAATACTGTAGTTGTCAGGCTTCCACGGTACTTTGTTTGGTTGTGCAAGGATTTCGTTGGTGTGGCCACCCAAAAAACTCAGCGGGCAGCCCCATTGCAATTCCCTCCATTCCAAGCCGTTTTAGCTCTGTATACTGTACAGCTGACTACCTTAAAAAAAAAAATCACTGCAGCAATCATGCTGTTATAAAAAAAAAAAACCCCAAGTAAACCCTAAGTAAAAAAAAAAAAAAATCATATCGGG